TTTAATTTTTAATATTATAAAATAATATTTCATAAAATAATTTTTATAATTTTGTAATCTATTCATTAAGATGAATCAATTATGTATTTTCACATTTCGTGTTCTGAAGTTTTATATAATTTCTATATTAGGAATGTATATATATATATATATATATATATATTAATAATTTTTTAGATATATCAAGTGATAAAAGAAATGCCAATGCTTTGTATTAAGTTAAGCTTAGAAAGTTATGATGAAGATAATGATGATAATAAACAGAAAAATCAAATATTTATACCTCTAAAATCTGATAATTTTGATTATATAAATATTCACAAGGATCAAGATTACATACTAAATATTATAATGAAAAGAAAAAATAAATCTAATAATTTAAAAGCACACTGTCCTTTGTTTCAAAAAGGAAAGGATGAAGGTTGGTTTTTAATTTTAGGTAATATTTCTAATAAAGAATTATTAGTTCTAAAACGAGCATCTGCAATAAATGAACAACGGAAATATCAATTACAATTCACAGCTCCATCAAAACTAGGTAATTTTATTTTTGTTTATATCTATGATTATTTATCTATGTATTATATGACAGTAATTATCTTATTTTTTTTAAGGACAAACAACTCTAACGTTTTATTTGATTTCCGATTGTTACATAGGATTAGATCAACAATATAATATAAAAATAAATGTAATATCTTAATATAAATTTTATTTTACTTAGCAAGTATGTTAGTTTCTTTTACGAGGTAAATATAAGCAAATTATTTTGATAAAATCTATTGTAATTTTATTAATTTATAAAGATATTTAATAGTTGTAAGTATATAAGATGTAATTAAATATACATATTTAAATTCATTTATTTTTTTTGGAAGTGCATATAAATTTACATATATATATTTATTATATATATTCTCTTATTTATTAGATAATTATGAAATTGTTTTATATTTTTTATACAAATGCATATCTTATCAATTTAGTAATATATAATACAAAGATAAAAAAAATACCTCCAAAGGATCAGTTTTATAATTTCATATATTATGTATTAACAAATGTAATTTTATATAAAATAAAGATAAAATTATATCCAATGTTATGTTCATTTATTATAGTTTATTTTATTACAAAACGAACTCATATATAATTTAATACAAAAATGTTTTATTTTAACATTGATACTTTATTAAAAGTAAAAGAATATCAATAATAGTTACATATTGTGTAAATATTTTTTCACACTGATCCTTCTTCACATTTATATTCTGATATTATAACAATACAGTATTTGTTTATAATTTTTTACATTAACGAGGAATAACAAGATAATAAGGGGTAGGAAGGATATGAGATCATTTCATTGCTTTGTTTTAAAGAGAAATGATTAAGTTGTATATGTACTATTTATTTGTAATATTTCATTTAATATTGATCAATTGCAGATTGTTCATTCTAATGATTTAGAAAAGATATATTTTAACTCTAAATTTTTAGCTTTAAGTTTATAATCCCTGAGATAAAGAATGCAATTTATGTCAAAATATTTTCTATTTATTAATTTAAATTTTCCTAATATTTATTGTCATATAATCAAAATAATAATAATAATAATCAAAAATTAAAGATTATAAAATTATATATAAATAAAAATTTAGATACAAAAATAATATATATAAATAATAATTTTATATTAACAATATATTTTTAATTTACAATTAACATAGTCAAATATAATAAACATTTTTTTATACTAAATTATAATTTATAAATATTTCGATGTTTCTTAATATTTTATAAACAAAATATACTTTTTTTTTTTATTAAGTTTTTTTCAACTTATTTCTTTAAAACTTCAAATTAACAACATCATACAATATTAAAATAATATTAAATATTTTTTATTATTTCTTTTATAATTTTTAAAGCTATAATAAAGTCAATCAGATAAATTGATAATTAAATATTTTTCTTTAATAGATTGAATTTTTCTTTTTTTCATCAATAGATTGAACCTTCTGTTTTTTTAGTATATATAAAATGCACTTTGTATATTTATTATTTCTGTAATTATAATTGTAATTACTAATCAAAGCAAAGAAATATTTAAGCTCCTTCCTAATAGAAATTTGGAAGTACTGATTATTTCTTAATAAGTAAGTAATAAACCAAAATATTTTTAAAGCAAAAATGATAATAGTACATTTCTATTCATCACATTCATTAATAAATTAATATATTCTTTCTCAAGTCATTGAGAAAATTCCATACAATATAATAGCAAATTGTAACTTGATTTTAAATGTTATTTTTTTAAATATAAAAACAAAATTTTAAAAAATTATAATTAATGCTTTTTATGATTAATAGATTATTACTGCCGTTTTTTTTGTTTCTTTTTTAAATATTTTTCTTTTATTTATTTTTTTTTATTTTTTTAATACTTTCTTTTTTTCTGCAAATTCTTCAAGTAACAGTGAAAGTATATTATATCACTCAAGAACCAAGGAAGCACTGGCATAACTAACAGAACTATCATTCATATTATTGCACTGGTTGCTTTGAACATATTTAAGAAACTTCAAATTCATTCTTTGACCATTAGTATTTCCTTTTAAACTATGAATTACCTATGAATTAAAAATATTGATCATAATTTCAAAAACTATATTTAATTTATAAAGAAAGTTTTTAAATTTATTATATTTTAAATATTAAAAGCTACATACACATGTAATAGATCAGAAAATATATCTATATTTAAGATTTTTTCAATATAAAAAAATATAATTTAAAATTTTTATTATTATAAATTTTTTTATATTATTTAAAAATATTTAAAATTAACAATTATATAAGTTTTATTAAAAATTATTATTAAAATCATTTTTAATAATAATAATACAAATATATTAAACAATAAACAAATCTTATCTTTATAGTAACAAATTTTATCAAATAATTTTATTATTATTCATATTAATTTTTTAAAATAACGATTATATAAAATTTTTAATATAATTTTTTATTAAAAATATATTCTTTTGTCTATTAAAATCTAGAAAATTTAATCATTATTTACATAATATTTCAACTAAATTGATGTATTTTTATAATTATATATTATATCTAATATTATTTCTGAATATTTTACGAAAAATGCTTTTTATTTATATAATTCATAGTTATAATTTATTTAATTTAAAATTCATATATATAATAACTGCATTTAAGATGTTAAGATTAATTTTATAACTTTTTAATATAATATTTTATATATCTTTCATATTCTTTTACTTTTTCACATTTTTTGATCCTAGGTGTATGCAGCCCCATGATTTAAATGAATAAAACTCATTACCTGTAAAAGAATACTAATAGGATGTCGACCACATACTGTATTACCATATTTTTTAAGGTAATCATTAAACATTGTGGGATTTAATGTTTCAATGATATCCATACCCTGTGAATTTTGAAGAAAAATATGAAATTATTTATAATATGATATTAATGATATTACTTACGATCATTTATGATAATAAAATATGAAAAATCAATAAGATTTTATTTATGCAATTATTAAATATTTAATATTTATAAATATGAAATATTTATTAATAAGTGATATTTTATGATCTTATATACCATTTTGTCAAGATTTTGAATAGATCTATGAATAGGACCACAAGATCTATCATAATAAGTATAGCGAAACCGCTGACCCCAATGACAGAAATCTGAAGATATAACAAATAATGTTTGTGGATCAGCCATATATGGTGCTAATAATCTTCCATAAAGTGCTTCTTTTTCTGGACTTAATGAACCCACTAATATAGGAATTATTGTAAAAGAATCTTTAAACCTATATTAATATAAAATTTGCAATTAAAAATTAAATTTAAATAATGAATAAAATATTAAATATTATAATTAATGAATAAAATGAATTGTTAGCAATTAAAATAGCAATGAATAAATGAATAGCAATTAAATAAAAAAAATATAAAAAATACCATAAATATAATTATAAACATACCCTTCCATAACTTTTGCAATAAATGGCAATTGCATTTCAATACTATGTTCTTCTTCATCTGTGTTTAAATCCATCCATTCAAAGTGTCTAGTTTCTTCAAGTTCTCTATATACTGTTACATGAATAAAAATCTATATTCAAACTAATCTATAATAATATTAATACTAATTTATATTCATAATTTAATAAGTTTCATTTTAAATAACAATAATTTAATTTTAATATATTATTTAATATATATATATATTATAGATATATTATATATTATAGAATAATATATATTATAGAATTTCTACCTTGTTGATCAATATGTAGATCATACAAAAGAGTTTGATAAATCGAAGCAGAGGAAAGAGCACAGCCTGCTAATCTCACATGATGTGATGGACCAAGAATAAAAATTCTACGCCTATATAATAATAATATATTATATATTTAATCTCTTATTTTAAATATAAATATAAATATATAAATTAAAAATATTAAAATAATTAGTTTATTTTTATACATTTTACATGAATTTTTTTCTAAATTTATAAAAACATATACAAACAATCATATTTTAAGAATTTTTTTATTATAAAAAAGAGTTATATGTATATTATTATGTTACTTATCTAAGTAAAAAAAATTATTGCAAAATATAATAAATATATAAACAATTCAAAAATTCCAAATGAGAAGGATTAAATATATTTTTATATAATTTAAATTAATAATATATTAAATTATACAAATTATATTATTAATTATATAATAGACATATTAAATTAATCTATTATTATAGAAAAAATAAAAATATCATCATAAAAATTTATTTAAATTTATTCATTATAAAAATAAAAGATGAAATGATAATAATTATGTAATAAGATTATTCAATTTTGTATAATTTAAAAATATTTAAAATAATTAATGCATAAATTTATTTATTTGGTTAAAAAGAAGAATTTTATTAAACTTTATAGAATATTGTTTATATTGAATTATATATAATATTGAATTATTATTTCATTTTATGAAATATTTTTTTATAAAACATCAAAAAAGTATAAAAAAAACTTACACAACTACAGGACTAATCTGGCGGTATGCAAAAGCAGCACATGCTCCACAATAGCTATAACCTGCATGTCTGTGAAATTTCATTTGTATTTCAATAAAGATTTTTTAATTTAATTAAAAATTATTCTAATGTACTATAATTACTGACGGGGCAATTATTGCCCTAGCAGGTCCATGTGATAAGTCTGCAGCACTCAACCAACCTTCTAATTGTTTATTCAACTCCAATCCTATTTATTTAAAAAATATATAATATTAATTAATAAAATACAAATTTATTAATCAAAATTAATTTTTATTAATCCTTTGAATTTTCAATATTTAAAAAATTTTTTTTTTGATAATTTTATCTCTTTTTAATAACTATTAGATTTTTTAAAATATATTACAAAAAATAAAAACCAATGGTTCATAAATTGGTTCATAGAATTTATTAAACAATTTTTTTAATAATTATATTGAAAATAGCATTGAATTTTTATTCAAATTTGATGTTAATTTGTATTTGTGAATTTATTACATATTTTTTAGTAAAAAATAAAATTTTAATAGATAAAAGAAAATCATAAAAAAATATACATAAAAAATATTTATTCATTTATATTAATATATTTTAATATATTTTAATGGAAATTTAAAAATATTGAATGTAATTCAACTTAAAAATATTTAAGAATAAAATTAATATTAAGTCATATTTAATAAAAGAATTCAAAANAAAAAATAATGTTGTAATGTAAATAATTATAATAAATAATTATATCTAATTTTTTATTTGATTTTTAATAATAATAATTAATTTTTAACAAAAAACAAAATTTGATAAATTATTATATTATTTTTATAAAATAATGTTTTCAATAATTAATATTTATTATATATTATATAAAAAAATATTGTAAAAAAAAGAAAAATATTGTAAAAAAAAGAATATTTTAATATTTTAGTAAAAGTATTTAACTTTATTCAAAAAAATCATTGTATCATTTTGAGAATTAGTTATAAATAAAAATATCTGGACTTGAATTTGAATATTTAATGAGAGTACTTATTATTCTTGTATCTAAATAATATAAAAATATATGAATAAAATATTAATAAATATATTATTTTTCTTGCATTTTTTAATATTATCTCTTTAAACTTAAAATTGTTATCTCTAGTTTGAATCTAAATAAATGATTTATATTTGAAAGAGTAAATAATAAAAAACATATTGATTGTTATGATACATCGCATTTGGATATTAATATTGGATATTATATTGGATATCACAATTCAACTATATTTAAATAAAATGAAAAAATATATTCAAATCTTTAGATTTGAATGAAAAATATCTTATTAAAAAATGTTTATTGAAAATAATATATAAAAATCTGTTTTTGTGCTTTATTTATGAA